TGTGTTGCTCACTATTATTTTTTATTAGACTTACAAACTTAGTTTCAGTGATACCATATTGTTCTTTCATTTGGCCGGAATAGCAAGCTGCTTTCGATCTGTACACGTAAGTCATTTAATTTGTATATTACACAAATGTTTCCGTGAACTGACAGTTTTTAGGTTAGAAAGGTGCAAAAGTGCAGAATCACTCCAGCATCCCCTTAACAACGTTACATTTTTAAACGCGCATATAAGAAAATTATCTGCAATTGGATGAGATTATTTGTAATCAGATGAAATCGTGTGAAATCAAATGAAATCGTGTAATCGGTGGGACATTTTAGCTAGTGGTTACCCCCTTGAATGTGGGTGTAACAACCACAGATATAGCTGTCCCAAATATGACTATTTATTGGGGTTGTGCCAACCCCAATTAGACATGTAATAAGCATATCGATCTCTCCGTGTATATATTGATATAAACTAATGCTGTAAGTTCTCAATTAACTTTTTAAACCCTTCCTTCATATTTTACGCTTAACGATTCCGCGTGTGGAGGGAAATGAGTAATTTTACAATGCCCTTTTCGAGACGAAAATACGGAGCATCGCGTGTGTATTCCAAGGTCAATTACGAACTTCTCACTTTTTTCGTGAATATTGGAAGGATATCGATCGACGGCGCATCCGCTCGGTGGAGCACGTTGTAGATAAGGTCACGGTTGTTCGTCCGTTGTTTTCGAGGCCGACCGGCTCAATACTGCAAGTGGGTCACGATTCAATGTCGCGTCGATTATTAGTTATCTCGCGTTGCTACGGGAATAAAGTGAAGTTAGGATCCTGCGACGCGGTGAAGGATAGCAGTCGTCTTTTGTATCGCAGACTATTGTCAACCAATTAGGTAGCTCCGCGCAAGTCGACGTTGCGGGGGTTTTCGAGTGATTCTGCACTTTTTGCTCCTAGAACTGTCGATTCGCGAAAACATTTGTGTATTACACAAATTATGTGGCCTTTGTGTACAGACCGACCGCAGTGGTCCGCTAATTGGACTAAAGAGGACAGTGTGGTATCATTGAATTTAAAGAGTGAGAACAAGATCGGTCCCATTTTTTTCGCATTCAACTGTGGTCACAAAGTAGGCACCAAACGAAAGGTCTCGTCAAAATGATCGCAGCTATTGTCAGTCTCAGAGTGTACCTGTTTAACGTTCCGGAGACATCGGGCTCCAAAAATTCGCAGGACGTAAACGATGGAGCGATGGTGTCTACACAGACACGAACCGTTTGTTTGGAATGGAATGGTACCTTTGGTGCCCGATATCTCCGGAACGTTAAATAGGTGCGCTCTGAGACTGACATATCTGCGATCATCTTGACGAGACCTTTCGTTCGGTGCCCACTTTGTGACCAAAATCGAATGCGAAAAAAATGGGGCCATTTGCCTGTGGACACTTGTTCTCGCTCTTTAGAAGCCTACTCTGGGAAAAAGAAGACAGCAACCCATTTTGGGGACCACAATTAGTAATCGAATTATTTGGATTGTTCGTAACTCCCTAATCTTTTACGAATTTTACTCCGCGTAAATAAAAATCGCAATTAGCTATTACATCTATATCCAAGATTTTTAAGTGATATTATACCAACCAATCTCTGGGGAATATTTCACTCAATGGCCATTCCGAAACCATTTTCGATCTATATTTCTCAGGTAAAATTTTCCTCGGAGAAAATGTTTCGGAACATAAACTTGCACCTGCACTGAGAAAACTGTCCGATTAAATGTAATCGGATAATCCAATTACATAGTAACAAACGGATATATTCAATTAAAGACAGAAGTTATTTCTAAATTTGTGAGAACCGTCTTCCGTTCATGTGTGGCTCACACATTGGCACTTTTCCCGTTCCATACAATTTCTTTTTGAGAGCCTTCACGACATTGGAATATATTCAATTAAATTGTATATCCGATGAAAAATGTGATCGGTTTTTCTATCAAATTTCATCGGTAACTGCATTTCATCGGATGTATCCATAATCTAATCGGAAAAATTAACCATCGGAAACACTGTTTAACAGGTTTATCCGATAAAAATTTTCTCAGTGTGAATCTAAGTGCGCGTTCCTAAACTCAATTTTAAAAAAGTGCCGCGACCATTCTGTCCAACACTGTACCCACTGACAGTTCTTTGAGTGAAAGAGGCTTTACTGATCCGTTAACCGATCGTTAAGTGGGAGAACTAGTTCATTTCGACGCTCTTATCGCGGCAGTTTGAGATACACTGTCGGTATCACCTGATCGCGGTAAATGCGTCGTTAAATGCGCCCTTTCAGACTCTCCGCCACGGTCTCGCGAGAGCACGAGGGCGCCGACGTTTCTCAAACTAATGATGCGTTCTCTTGCTTTTCAGAGCTTGCAGCAGCAGCCGCGCTCGCAGTCGGAACGACAACTATCAGGTATGTTCTCCGTTGAACGGAGCGACTCTGTTCCGCTCTCGATCGTGCGAGACGGTGAATTCCACGTCGTTCGCGCAGCACCGTGTGTCGCTCTCTTTTCGCGAGCACGGCAAACTAGACCGACGATTCGATTTCAAGAGCATGCCGACAATTCGCGTTTACTCGATTATTACGCGCGCGATTGCGCGCTCGGTGGACCCGGTAAAAGGATTCTGCGACTCTGCGCCGCGCGAAGCGAGAGTAGAGAGCCTTCGATATTCTATAACGTAAGCTGCGTTCGGCATTGCAAATCCGAGGCGTCGGAGTGCTCTTTTGCATTCGAGCGAATGAGAGAGGAGAATGCGATAGAAAGGGAGGAAGAGCACTCCGATGTCTCGGATTTGCAATACCGAACGCGGCTGTAATCTACAAGTGACCTAAACTGAGATACGAAAACACGAGCTACGACGCGATGACATTTCGCGCTTAAACGAAGGTAATTATGCACGAAGGGAGGGCGAGATTGGCATTTCGAAATGCTGAAAAATTACGAAGTTACGCAGATGCAAAAGTTATATGGAATAATTGAATTCTACACGGGACGCCCAACGAGAGAGCTTACGAGTTGGAAATTAAACGCTCAAGCTTATACACTTTGCGGAATTTATGGATCCCGGTTTGCGAAAAATTGTGCCACCCGGGGCGAGCGACGGTTTACCCCGGCGGCGCGGTTATTCGGTGGGCATCACGTGTACATAAATCACACGTGGCCGGGCCGGCGTCTCTCCCGGACCGCGTCTGATTACATTTGAACGGCGGTTGTCAGCTTACGATGCCAATCTGCCATTAATTTACGCTCCTCGCGTGGGACGTAAACGAGGCCGACGCGAGGGCCGTAATGAATATTGACATCTTTGATCGCGCGAACGTAACGATCGCGATCGATACCGATCGTCCGGCACAATATCGGCCGGGGCGTCCGATAACGAGTTTAGCGCGTAATTAATTTCCCCGCGCGGGAGTGCAACGCGATCGAATGCAATTTGCGGCGGGGCGCGGGGGCGCCCTGGAAACGGCGGAATTTTCGCCCTCGCGGTGATACAGTAATGCGGCGTCTGAAGGTTCATTAACGCCCGCAGTACCTTCGGCTCGACTTAACGCGCGTGTAACACCGCGCGCATATGCTATTACGTATCTCGCAATTAATTGAAGACACCCGGGGGCATCGTGACCCGCGTAATGTTCGCTGCAGCCAGAGATTTATCCGGTCCCGCTGTTTCAGCGAGAGGCATCTTCAAGTTGCATGCATTTGCGCGTAAATATAAGCCAGATGCTGCAATTCCTTAATTGAGATCTCGTTAGATAAAATAAGTCAAAGTAATCGCAACTTTTTTGCAATCGGGCTTACACTTGTCACGTTTATGGTAATATATGAAATCGTAACTGAAGATAGGAGACATATGTGTGTGTGTGTGTGTTGTGTGTGACGTAAAAAAAAGGAAGTTTAATTAACTTCTTCTGGCGATAATAATGATAGATATCGAGAGATTGAACCTCATCTTCTGTCGCGCTCTACATGAAAGTTCCTCCATCGCTTCCTGCCGTCCGAAGGGTATACTGTATTGTATTGTGTCGCGGATTCGATCGCGAAAGTTTAATTAATTATCGACATGGACTAATTGCTTTCTCGCGGCGCGATCTCGTGGCGCGACGTGATTATGACTTCCGGTATAGGCACGCCCACGGCTAGAATGCACCTATGGATGCGCCGGCGATGCACTTTCCTTCTCGCCCGCGGCGATCTAATCGGCAGCGCGTTAATCGAATAAATCTCGCGATAGAAATATAATGGATGAAAAGAAGCGACTCTGTGACGGCTCGGAGTGGAGAAAATCAGCAGCACCTCCGCCGCCTTGAACTAGAAAATTACCTGTATGGCGTCGCAAGGGGAATCTATTTATTATCCTGTGTAAAAATAAAAGTTCACGCCATATTTTCCTCGACGGTGAAGAGCTATCGATTTTCTTAATCGGACGATTATACAATAATTCGGAAAATTTTTAATCACTATAGTTGAAATCGCCGACGGTCAAGTTTCCGGATTTTCGAGCTCACAAAAATCCGGTTGCTTGAATGTTCGCGATTCCACTGTTACTAGGTCTAGCTTTTTAAACAAATTCAACGCGTCAACAAGTTACATCGGTTAATACGTGAATTTACTGGCGACAATATTCTATCTAACGATACTGTGTTATGTCCGAACAGAAACCGGCGCACAAGACAGATGGAAAAAAAAATATGAATTCACATAATAGGAATTTGAATTATTGGGCTACCTACGTCCTGCTTGGACCTACATGGCATTCTCGTTGGCTGTTTCGTCTTATCTAGGGGTCTTATTTAACTGTAATGTTTAGGTATTTGATTTTTGTAGTTTTTTTCAGGTGTGACACATGTCACACCGTACTTCAAAGAGTTAAGGAATCCCGATGGCCGCGCTGTGCTAAAATTAATCATTCAGGAGCAACTCTCGCGCGAACATGGATCGCATTAGTGCCACGCAGATTCGGCGGTGGAAGCGTGAAAATAAATAGAACAATTCTACGAGCAGGCGGCGATGAAAAGAGATACGTTTATTGCTTCTCTATCGACGATTCGAATTAATATCCGCTCGCGCGCGTTCGCTTATCGAACTCACTAATTTTTTTTTTTTCTACAAGCCAGCGTGCTGGCTCGAACAAACCGGAAAGAACCGTGCTTAATTTATACGACGGAAAGTGATTGGCACAAAATAATTAGAAGCAATAAATTTCTTCTTCTCCTTCGTCTTGTTAGAAATTTATAGCCGATGACACCGCGGCGACTCGTGATTGGGGTTAACGATCGAGTTTCCCGTTAATGCAAAAATCCCGTCTCGCTCATTTAGATGGGGAAATTACATTTTCTGACATTTCCATAAAATACTTAGTTTTCTCCCCCGTTACGAATCTAATGGCACGAAAAGGAATTTTATAATACGAGGAAATTAATACTCTGTAATTTTTTTAATATTGCATGTCACACGTATTTATCAATTGCTGTTTACACCGGAATTTAATGGTATTAAAACGTGACGTTAAATACATCGAAATGAAACTTGCTATAATTTTCTTTCGCGTGAAAATTCACAACATTTTTGCAATCTCACGTTTAATTATGCAATCAAAGTTATACAGTCGACACATTATCTCTTTTAGTATAATAATTGAATTTTGTCACAGCGGGAACATTAATTAATATCTGCAGAATTTTATTCCAACATTATGATAATAGCTTTTCGTTTGCCTTACATCGTCTATAGAAAAGCCACTAGCGCGATACGCGATACATGAATAGGAAGAATGGAAACAAATGACAGCTCGAAAAGCTCATTACAGCGATATCGGATTAATCCTTGCTGTGAGCAAACTGGAGCGGCGGCCTATAAACTTCGAATGTCGTGAAAAATGGATCGATACTCGAAACGTGACAGAGAGCTCTCCTTGTCGACACAAAAATGCCATTTCATAAACTTCCCCGATATCGTACGCGAATTGTTACGGCTCCTCGAGTTTCGAGCATTTCCTTTTTCGAGCGAATTTCACGTAACGTTGTTACATCCGCGGTATTTGATCCGCGGAACGCCCGTTTCGAATCGTACACAAAATTGTAACGATATTAATACTGATCAATCATTGTACGATAACCGGATACTAGGTGTCCCAGGAAGAAAGGTGAATATTCTGGGAGGTGATAGTGTCGGTCATTTTAAGCAAAAATGTTCATATGAATAAATGTCCCATTCCCCACTGTTTCCGAGATAGAGCCACTTGAATGCCCGGGAAAAAATTTTCACATATGATCATATATAATCATATATGTTCATATACGAAAAATGTCCATATATAAGATACCATATGTATCATATATGATCGTACATGATAATGTGTTTGTCATATATGACAGTATATATGACAAACATGTGCATCATATATGATCGTATATGATAATGTATTTGTCATATATGACAGTATATATGACAAACATGTGCATCATATATGATCGTATATGATAATGTATTTGTCATATATACTGTCATATATGACAAACACATTATCATATACGATCACATATGATACATATGGTATCTTATATATGGACATTTTTCGTATATGAGCATATATGATTATATATGATCATATGTCAAAATTTTTTCCCGGGTGTCTCGTGCATTTACTTTTTTTCCGTACACTTCACCCTTCACCCACCCTCATAAACGTCCGCGGGAATTTACTGTTACCCCTGGTCCACGATCTTGCTTTAAGTAAGCTGTAGGCCTTAAGGGGATGCTGGAGTGATTTTGCACCTTTCTAACCTAAAACTGTCAGTTCACGGAAACATTTGTGTGATATACAAATTAAATGGCTTACGCGTACAGATCGAAAGCAGCTCGCTATTCCGACTAAATGAAAGAACAATGTGGCATCACTGAGACTAAGTTTGTAAGTCTAATAAGAAATATAATAGTGAGCAATGCACACATACAGTGCATGTATTGTAGTACGTAGTATCTTTTTGTCAGTATAGGCAACTGTACACTTAAATAGCTCTATCTCGGAAACAGTGGGGAATGGGACATACAATCGCATGAACATTTTTGCTTAAAATGACCGATACTATGACCTCCCAGAATATTGACCTTTCCTCCTGGAACATCCTGTATATTGCGGATCCGAATCTTCTCTGTACGCAGGAGCGAAGTGCATCGAGAGCGCCTGTAATTTTCGACAATTGGTCCCGCGGTTTGCGAATTAATCGGATTTGCCGCTGGCCGGGTGCGGGCGTTACGCGCAAATCGCGCCGCAACGCGGGAGATTCGATCGGAGAAAAGCGCGGAAAAGAGCGGGTCGCGCGGGACGCTTGCGCCACGGCGCCGCCGCCACCGCCGCCGCCGCCGCCGCCGTCGTCGTCGCCGGTAGCTTTCGTTCCGTTCCCCGGTGGAA